TTCCTTCTTTCCCCTCTTCCTTCCTTCCTTCCACTAGCAATTTTTGAACATCTGTTTTATGCAAGGCTCCATATTTGATGCTGGAGCTACAAGATCTCCAACAAACATGGCCCCTACCTTTGTGAAGTCTAGAATCTAGTAGATGAGGTTGACAAGCAAATCAAAGATAAAAGTCCTTGAGGTTAGATTTATGTAAGGATTTGGGGGGCTGTGTAGTAAAACTAGAGAAGAATTGGCTAACCTTGTCATTATCCTGACTTTGAAGGTTGAGTCGGAGTTAGGTAATAAAGAGAGGTTTGACCCCAGACCCAGGAGGAATATGCAGGTCTGGTAATGAGACAGTCTTGTGATTGGTCCAGAGGACAAGAAGAGCATAAAAGAGAGATCTTCCTAGACTTTTCTCTCCCTGGCCAATCAACATTAATGTTATATAAAACACTGTGACATAAAAATTCCAAAGTCTTCAAATTATCTGACAAGCCTCATACAATTCTCTCAGGTAAGTGCCAAAAATGTCAATTTCCTAATAAAATAAAAGCTGATTTCATTTGTTTGATCTCTGTTAAAGCCAGTAGAAATGATTTATTGATTTTTAAAAAGAAAAATATATTTTAAAATGCCATTTTTTTTGCAAGGAACTTGTTAATAGATGTGTAGTTCTCATATACCCCCAAAGTGCTTCTCGTTACAAAATGTTAACAGTTTCAAGAAAAATCAATACAATAATCAGAAAACTCATGCAAAGATGAATAAAGAACAAAGCAATTCCATACCTTGCTGTCAGTATTATTTTCGATATCCAAACTTTGTAACATGTTATTTGTTGCCTGAATCCAAATGTACCTTAATGTTTGTTTTTGTTTTTTAATGTCATAAAAATGGAAGATAACAGATAAATGAAGAATATATTCTGAACACACTAGGGTAATGCAGAAACTCTAAGCAAGGCATGCACCTGTGAAGAATTCCTGCACACTCTCTGTAAAGCCTTGTGTGATCACACCGCCTATGACGGTCAGTGTGCTTGTACACAGACTCCAGGTGGAAGTCTGGAGTTCAGTGCCCAGAAACAGTTTGTTCCTTCCAACACACTCTCTTTTGTCAGTTCAGAAGATGTGGGCACTTTGCCTTTCTCTTATTGACATGGCAATCAGGAAACTCATAGCTTTCCCTGGCCCTTGACCTATGGTTTCTGTCCATCCTAGCTGCCTCCTCTTTGTTTCATTAGGTTCTTTGAAAGAAAATTTGAGGAAATCTGTGGCTTTCATTGAAACTACTTAAAATCTTCTATGAAAATAGAAAGTAAAAAAAGGAATAAAAATGTCAGAGAACTACAATATATCACAAGAATGCCGGCCTCCTGCAATAGTACCTGAGTATAAGCACTGGGTTTCCATATCCTTATTGGTGAAGGGCAGTTTTATCAAGGTGACTGGACTTGTGCCTCTTCCTAAGACAGTGGAGGGCCTATCTATTTTTTTCTACCAACAACCTACTCACTGTATGAAGCAGGTAAGCACTTCAGAGTAATTTGTATACAGTGATTTTACAAATTATTATTAAGTATTATTACTAAATAATATTACATATTAGTAGTGCATAACATTATGCTTATTATTATTTACATAATAATCCAGAATTAGTAAGTCATTGCAAAATGTTGTGACACCTGTCACCAATTTGGGTTGTAGAAGCAGAGAAGTCATACCATGACTTGAGTACCCGAAAATCCTTTCTCATAGGCTCATGCTGAGTTTTCGTACTGGCTGGAGCTCAATACTAGTAACATTATTAAAGAGCTCAGGTCGTTGGGAGCCATCAACTCCAAGCCAAGGAAATGTTATGCTAAATAAAGCAAGATTAGAGAAGCGAAATACACTGGTTTAGCCAAATGAAACTTGTATTCTAACTTCCAATAAGTTTCTATTTTTTAAATAAACATAAATATTCCTACTTGAGTGTCTAGGTTCCAAACACGGGAAAGGGAATTTTAGATGAAACTGACAAAAGGGTGCCAAGAACAGAGTTGTGATGGAACATCTGGGACTTGAACCATTCTGTACTGTCTAGTTCTTCAGTTTCTCTGAGCCTTATTTTCTTTTACGTGTCCTTTAGCAAAAACAAAAATGCGTAGAGCATTTTTTACATGTGTCTAATACATGGAAAAAGCCAGTAACTGGTAGCTGCTCTCGAATATGTGTCTAATAAATGGAAAAAGCCAGTAACTGGTAGCTGCTCTCGTTACATTACTGCAAAACATGGGGTATGGGCCCATAGCTTGCATCTTGCCTCAAGTCTGTCGTGACCATCTGAAAAGGGAATAGAGAGGAAGAGAGGAATGAGATTAGAGAGCTCTCCCTGTGTGAGCAGGAAAGATGGTGTTTTAGCCTCTACTGAGAGATGGATGCTTCTGCTACTCTTACAGCTCTTTAGAGAATGAAATTACCTCTCCCTTATACTAGACTAATTCAATGTCTGACAACTTCTCTTGGTTGGGAAGTTATTCTTTCTGCATGGCTTAATTACCTATTGTTGCAGTTTCAATTTGGGGCGAAGGAAAGGATAGTGGGTCTGACTCTGAGATAAAAATTCTACTGGAAAACTACTGGGTTGGACATGAATGCTTCCAGCTGAGGGCTTGCTTACACACTGAAAGTGCTACATCTTCTAGGCCGTATTCCGTGGGTCACAGGGATTCTGTGTTGTGTCCGCAGGGTCACCAGAATGAAAGCAGGGGATGGGACCAGCAGTTAGCGTAATGGCTATGTCGCTGAACTCCCATGTAGTCGACCGCGGTTTGAGTCCCGGACCCGGTGGCTTAACCTCACGCTGGGCACATGTGCGTACGTGCCCAAGATCCCAAGAGGAGAATGGAGGAGAAGGGATTGCAGCGTGGCCATCCCACCTGGGGAGTGATTTCTCGCTTTCTGTCTCTCTGTCTCTCTCTGTCTGTCTGGCCAGTGCACGCGCCTTATAGCAAAAACTTCTCCAAAAAAAAAAAAAAAAAAAAGCAGGGGAGTTAGCCATTAGCAAGGACCTAGAATAATTGGCTTTGGACCCTTATCCACAGTGGAACCTGAGCATGTTTACCGTTCTCTGTGTTTGCACCAGAAATCACACTAAGAAAAAGTGTTCCACAAATAAAAAAAATTGAAAACCAAGAGGTCAGTGTACATCTGGCCCCCACAAGCCACATGGCACACAGCCTGTCATCTGTCAGCTGGTCCTGTTGCATCCTGTCTCTGCTCCTCTGTGCTGCCTGTTTGAAAGTGGCAGTTGTGTGTGTGTGTGTGTGTGTGTGTGTGTGTGTGTGTGTGTGTGTGTATGTGTGTGTGTTCCTTTGTGCACAAGATGGCTGGAAAGGGAAGATAAATGGGAAGATTTATGGGAAAAGGAACTTTATAAATCTAAGACATAATTATTATGAGACTGAAAAAAGACCCCTTTAATGTGTTTGGGGGGAATACTCTTGACCCAGCCTTGTGTGGGTGGGCCCCTTGGGAATTAATAGGGGATTTTCATCTCTAGCTTATACGATAGGGTGGCAGTGATTGAAACTCAAGGTTGAGAGCAGAACCATTTGGCACACCCCAGCCTAATGAAAGAGGCTTGGAGGGATATTGACCAAAATAAAAAGAGCGAATAGATCATACATGGGAAGATTTATGCCGAGCGCTGAGCAACAACCAGCTTGCAAGGCCCTCTTGCCAACCCTGGCCTGGGTGGATATGAAGGCAAAGTGTTCAGACTCACTGAGCACAGCATCCTTACCTCTGACAGACAACTGAGTAGTGTTCCAATTTGTAAGGAATGGCCTCTAAGGTGGCAGTCTTTAAGCAACAGAAAGTGCAAAAGGCATCTCTTACACCAGCCTGACCCTAGGACTTGAGTCTTAATGCTGTCCCTCAAAAGTTAGTAAGCACAGGGCCAGCAGATGGCACAATGGTTGCATTACTGGACTCCCATGTAGTAGACCCGGGTTTGAGTTCCAGATCCAGCGGCTTAAAACTCATGCTGGGCACATGTGCTTGCATGCCCAAAATTCAGAGAGAAGAATGGAGAAGTGATTGTGGCATGGCCATTCCCCCTGGGGGATGATTTCTCACTTTCTATCCCTCTATATCTCTCTCTGTCTCTCTGGCAAGTGCACATGTCCTATAGCAAAAAATCTCTCTCTTAAAAAAAATGTAGCAAGCATGGGAACTATCACTCAGGACTGCAATTAGAAACCTGAGGTCCAAAAGTCCTGTTCGAGTGGTGAGATTCTTTCCCACATGTGGTAAATTCCTGATGGATGCAAATTTCTCCTTGGATTTGTCAATGGTTTTCCCTGTTGAGTCAGTTACTCTCTGATGGAGACATTTAAGGTAATGCTGAGCACAGCCTTGACTATGTGTGATGTATTATGCTAAGCACTTTACATGGTTCCTTAACTTCATTTGCACAACTGCTCTAGGTCCTTAAGTGCTGTCTTCTCCATGATACAGATGAGAAATCTGAGGTATATTTATAGGACTTGCTGATAGTTGGTGGAGTCAGAATTAGAATCCCCCACTAATCGATTTTTAGATGTGAGGCAGGAAAAACCAGATGCCACCCTGCAGAGAAAAAAATATTGCCTGAGATCAGCTTTATGTGTAGCTCATTTGCTGTAAGAAACGAACCCTCTGCCCAATTTCTGCAATGCACACACACACACACACACACACACACACACCCTTAACTCACAAAGCCTTTCTTCTTCAAATTGTATGCTAAGCCAGAAGCAACTGCATCGCTTGAAATAATGTACTGGCACTCCTAGGTTCATTTTTCTCTCACCTTAAACACTGATCACAGTAAACTGTCCCTTTGCTGTTGAATGATGCATGTTGTAGATGCTTAATACTCCTGATTTGTGAATGAATAAGTGAGGATGAATGACCATAGCAGAGGGGTGATTCCTCCTTATGGGAAGAACCTCCCATCTTCCTACTCCACCTGCTTACCTCTCTTTCCAGGGAGGCATGATCGCTCTGCTGCTGTCCATCCTGTGCTTGGTGATGATCTTGTACACTCGCCGGCGCTGGTGCAAACGCCGCCGTGTGCCTCAGCCCCAGAAGAGTGCCAGTGCCGAGGCAGCCAATGAGATTCACTACATTCCATCCGTGCTGATCGGCGGGCATGGGCGTGAGAGTCTGCGCAACGCCCGTGTGCAGGGCCACAACTCCAGTGGCACCCTGAGCATCCGGGAAACACCCATCCTGGATGGCTATGAGTATGACATCACTGACCTACGCCACCACCTGCAAAGGGAGTGCATGAATGGAGGGGAGGACTTTGCCAGTCAGGTCACTCGCACCCTCGACTCCCTGCAGGGCTGCAACGAGAAGACTGGGATGGACCTCACTCCAGGTGGGATTGGGAGAAGGACCCAGAGTCCTTTGTCTCAGGGAGCTGGGGAGTGGTTGGGTACAGCTGTTTGGAAATACCAGTTGTCCTGCATAGTGGGGTGTATCAGTGTCCTTTTCCAGGTTAGCAGGAGAACAGTGAAAATTGGATCGCTTTTCACTTCCAACAGAGGAGTGCATTGGGCCTTCTTGCATGCAGCGAACAGCCCTCTGGGCAATAAGGAGATGGCAAGAAAAATCCACACATGTATATGACTTTTTGTATATCATATATTTGTTTATATGATTTAATTTTCCTCCAAAGTGGAGAGGACAGCAGTATCTGTTCTTTTTTATAACTCCTGAGACTTGGGTCTGGACTGTCTTCCTCATGTTATTTTGGCCCATGCTTTTGTGGTCTCTATAGGGAATGCAATCAAGGTATCAGATCTCAGGTGCTTTCTGGATCTGTGGAGACAATGGGTGGAAGAGACTTGGAACTAATCCAGCTAAATAAGATCAGGGTCAAAAAATGCAGAGAAGGGATTAGCCCCATGGCTGAGTGGGTAAGAGAGCCGGATCCCACACAGCAACTATAGCTCGAATCCCAGCTCTAGCAGCTTGAAAAACATGCCTGGTATGTGTGTGCCCCAAATCCTGACAGGATGAAGAAATAGAGAAGAGATTATAGCATGACCATGCCCCACTGGGGGATGTTTTCCTCCTTTCTCTATCTTTCTCTCACTTAGAGAACACATGCCCTCTGGCAATAAAAATAATGCAAGGAGGGAAAAGCTGTACTTATCTTTTTATAGCCCATCTGCCTCTCTTTCAAACCTCTATGAATAAACAAATCCCCATACATAAACCCTTGACAATGATCTTTCAAGGAACTGCCCCACTATCTTTGAAGCAGACATATTTGGTACCGAACGTTACTTAAGTCACGTAGACTTTCGTCGGAGCATGAAAGAGTGAAACCACACAGAGGTTTCCATCCTGCTTGTTATCTAGAAGAGACCCTCCATAAGTAGTCATTAATAAGATTTAAAGTCTGGGGACTCCCTGGAAAGGGGGTGGGATATCACAATATCTCTTATATTCCCCATAGCACCTGGCATGGTGCTACCCCCCCCCCATGGCTGAGTGGGTAAGAGAGCCGGATCCCACACAGCAACTATAGCTCGAATCCCAGCTCTAGCAGCTTGAAAAACATGCCTGGTATGTGTGTGCCCCAAATCCTGACAGGATGAAGAAATAGAGAAGAGATTATAGCATGACCATGCCCCACTGGGGGATGTTTTCCTCCTTTCTCTATCTTTCTCTCACTTAGAGAACACATGCCCTCTGGCAATAAAAATAATGCAAGGAGGGAAAAGCTGTACTTATCTTTTTATAGCCCATCTGCCTCTCTTTCAAACCTCTATGAATAAACAAATCCCCATACATAAACCCTTGACAATGATCTTTCAAGGAACTGCCCCACTATCTTTGAAGCAGACATATTTGGTACCGAACGTTACTTAAGTCACGTAGACTTTCGTCGGAGCATGAAAGAGTGAAACCACACAGAGGTTTCCATCCTGCTTGTTATCTAGAAGAGACCCTCCATAAGTAGTCATTAATAAGATTTAAAGTCTGGGGACTCCCTGGAAAGGGGGTGGGATATCACAATATCTCTTATATTCCCCATAGCACCTGGCATGGTGCTAGACCCCCCCCCAGTATTCATATGGTTTTCAGAGTTACACACCCAAATTCCTTTAGGGGTCAGACTGATAGCAGATATGTGCACAAACTGGAGGTCAGGCTGCAGGGAATAGGGTAGACAGTGATGAAAGAGAGATGGCATATTCTGCCTGAATGCACACACGTTCCAGTTCTTTTAAAACCCATTACTGACCAGAAGAAAGAAATGTACCACGTGTATTTAGCCAAAGGATGACAAGTGGTGACCTTATCAGGATTTTTGGATTTTTGATGGTCATCTCTTTACTTCAGTCCTTCTCCCATAATGTTTTGGTCCCCTAGGAATCAAAGAAGAGTATTTCCATTCTGCCCATTTCTCTCTTTACAGGTGTCTTATTTCCATTTGTAAAAATAAGATTACTTAGTGTACACAGATTATCTTGCGCTCACTTTCTTTTGGCCTTTTCCCTCAAAGTATTTGCCTTGGCTTTCCTCATATAGGAAGTGACAATGCCAAGCTCTCGCTGATGAACAAGTATAAAGATAACATCATTGCCACCAGCCCTGTGGACTCCAACCACCAGCAGGCCACGCTGCTCTCTCACACCTCCAGTAGCCAGAGAAAGCGCATCAACAACAAAGCAAGAGGTATGTACACTTGATTGAGGGCTCACGGACGGATTCCTCAGGAGTGGTAGAGACAGTGATTATTCATAACGGTTAGGCCTTCCCATGGATGGCCAGAGGAGGTATGCCCTGGCGCAGTCTTCCTGGAGGCCGGCTAAGTGCTACTTATCAAAGAATGCACATGCGCAAGCCTTTTCTACTAAGTAATTTCACCAACAAGAATCCATCCTTAGGAAATAATTAGACAAGTGCGCAAAGACGTGTGCACAAGGCTGTTCATCACAACATTGTTTAAATGAGCGAAAAATTGGAAATAGCTAAGTGTCCATCAACAGGGAATTGTTTAACTACCTGGCACATCTGTCTACTGTCCAGTGGATCACCATGCAACGTTTAAAATGATCATCTAGATCTATATTTGTTAATATGAAAAGTTGCCCGCCCATCTATTAAGTAGGGGGAAATGAGGTGATAAAATAGAAGGTAGAGTATAATGCCATTTTTAAAGAGAGATTAAAAGTCCTTTACCTGGTTCCATGTTAGAAAAAGACAGGGAGTATATTCATCAAGTGTTAATAGAGTATCCTCTGGTTTAGAGGATTTAGAGGACCTAAGGATTGCTCTTTTTACATACTTTTGTGTATTTTCTTTATGTTCTTTTCTTTTTGCATTCAGTATATTTTAATTCTAAAACCAGAAAAAATAAAACACAAAAATATAATATCCTGTGACCTAATTCTAGTCTTATATCAACCAAAATCATAACCTATAATTAGGGAAATTTCTCTTTCTTTTCCACTAACCCTAGAGTTCCTTTCTGCCAGGTAGGTGCCCTAAATGGCCCTAGTTTGTGGAAGAGTGTGAACTGGGTAAAGGGTAGGGTTCTAGTGATTATTGTCATAAAGATCCACTTCCTCAGGGAATCTGAAGATTAGGAAATCCCAATCCCTGTGGCTCCTTCTCCCTGTCAGCATTTATCAAGTTTTCTCTTGAACTTGCCCAATGTTACGGCACCATGAAGACAAAGCTGAAAATGTTGTCTTTCCTATGCTTCTTGTCATTACAGCTGGTTCGGCCTTCCTGAATCCTGAAGGGGACTCTGGCACAGAAGCAGAAAATGACCCCCAGCTGACCTTTTACACCGATCCCTCACGGAGCCGGAGGCGCAGTCGAGGTAGGAAGGGTGGAGGGGCAGGGGCAGGCAGGAGGACACAGGGAGCTGCAGAGGGGCTGTGTTGGGTTGGAGGCTCTGTGAACCCAAGCCAGTTTCTGCGGGAAGAATTCTTGGACCACTGCTGGTGTGTGTTTCCTCCTAAGGAAGAAAGAAGAGCCTAGAGTGAAAATTTCAGAGAATCATCTCTCCCAGATAATGGCACTCTCAAACAAGTTTCCAAGTTGTTTGAAAGGCTATTTCTTGGTCAGAAGACTCTCAATTCCTTCTGGAAGCCTCAAGAGTCATATTTTGCTGTTTAGACTAAGAAAATAAAGTTGATGAAATGTGTTATATGTGAAATAACGGATAGTATATGTGCCCCTTGTGTACTCAGCCATATTTTCCTTGGGATCGAGCTAAACAGGAATTGTGGGGCAGGGTAGGTGAGGAATAATCTAGGGCTTGAAAAATGGATGAAACAATCTTTGCCCTTTAAGCTACTATCCAGCAGGATCCTGGGTAGACCCTAAGTCTCCATGTCTCTTCCTTTCTCCTGGCAGGGCTTAGGTAGCTAATTTATTATCTTCAGCATTGATAGAGTTGTCCATTTCAGCAGCCACTGTCTGTGCCCCTCTGTGTTGATGCTGATGTTTAGTGGCTTTTAGTGTGTCTCTTTCGGCTATAGCTGCCACTGCCCATATTATCTTCAGCATTGATAGAGTTGTCCATTTCAGCAGCCACTGTCTGTGCCCCTCTGTGTTGATGCTGATGTTTAGTGGCTTCAGGTGTGGCTCTTTCGGCTATAGCTGCCACTGCCCAAGACTGCCTGACTGCCAGTATCAACATCATCACTGAGAAAGTTCTGAGTTCAAGCACCAGTCAGTCTCACCACTTACTTGCGTGCACTACTGGATAAGACTGACAGCGTCTCTGAGCCTCAGTTTCCTCACACATTAAATTGATTAACAATACCTTGTGCACAGGGCTACTAACAGAATTACATTATATTAAAATAGTTAAAGCACCATAAAACTACTGCTGTTGTTAGAACTCTTCACAGTGCAGTCTCAGGTTTCTGTACTGTCCTATCCTAAGGAATTTTAGACAGAGTTCCTTTGAGATACAGTGGAGGATATTTGAATTGTACCACCTTGTGCTATGCTCAATAACCTTTACCCAACCAACAGTTAACTGATCCCTCCAAAGACACATTCGCGTGTATTCTCTCCTACTTATACTTGAGTTCTCTATGTACTGAAAGCAATCTTCCTAGAAACTGGAATAATCCTTTGTAATTCTAAAGTTCACTCTTATAGGCTCCACTGCTACCAGTATAAAAGTTCGTCCCACCATTTTTCTCAAGAGATTAGTCCATTAACAGAGAGTTCTTGGCAGCCTAATATCTGGTACCCTGGTTTCCCTGAGGCAAGAATTTGGAGTTAGGTCCTCTCCACTCTTGATTCTTATTTCACATTTGTACAGAGCAGATATTCAACCAAGGCCCACCCAGCCCAGGTCACATCAAAGCAGAGTGTGTCCCGCTGTAAGAACATCCTCTTTAAAAAAAATACATGATAATGAATTATGATGAGTTCCTTTCTAGCATAAAACTGTTTCTTTTAAATGCCAAGCTCTCCTAATGCACCAACTGTGTATTGCTATTAACTAGACTGTAAGCTTCTTAGGGGTGGGGCATGTCTAATTTACTTTTCCAAATGTGGAGTGAAGGATTTTGAATTGGACTGGATACATCAGTCAGGCTTTGTGATAGGAGATAGAAACATGAAAACATGGCACAGTGATAAGGCTTAATTCAATACATAAATAAAGTAAAATGAATACTCAGAAGAGAGAACAGTTAATTCTACCTGGCAGCAATGGGAGGCAAGAAAGGGAAAATAATTAGAACTGGGTTATACATGATGTATAGAATTTCTTAAAAGAGGAAAAGTCTAAGGTAAGGGCATTTCGGTTGAGGAAAATAATACATAAAAGCCTCGAAGGCACAAAAGAATGTGTCATTTTTAAGGAAATAAAAGTAGTTTAATATGGCAGCTGTCATTTGGGCTACAAATATATAAACACATAGGGATGGTAGGAATGAGGTTGTAGAACAGACTAGCTCCCAGAGGACCATGCCATGTTTATATTTGGTTGTTTTTTTTTGGGGGGGGACCACTGGAAGTTTTGAAGTTCTGTGGAAATGTTGGATTATGGGTCGATGATGCAGAAGGACCAGAAAAACAGTAATCTCAGTAGCAAGTTTTTGCAGTCTCATGTGAGCAGAGGCAAATGCCCACAAACAGTGATGACATGGTGTGATAAGAACTATCACAGCAGAGTGCATGGGGGCTAGAACACCAAGGAAGGAGTGAGAATCTGTTCTCAAAGCCTTCAGGGGAGTATTTACAGGGAGATGTTGTTAGAGCTAAGACTTGAAGAGTAGGTGTATACCAGGCTGACAAGGTGACAAAATGGCCTTCTGTGGAGGAGGAAATAATATGTGCAAAGTCACTGAGATACAAACGATGACGGTCTAGTCAGGGATCAGTAAATGGTTTACTACAATAGAATGAAGTTTAGGAAGCAAGTCTGTGGCTTCTTTAGGAAATAAAGCTGAAAGATCAGCAAAAGCCAGAGAGTACATGGCCTTGACAGCAAGGGACTTGAACCTGACACTTTTACTGGTGTTTTTTTAAAAAGTGTTGCCCTGGGACCAGCAGTTGGCGTAATGGCTATGTTGCTGGACTCCCATGTGGTCAACTGCGGTTTGAGCCCCAGACCTGGTGACTTAAAACTCATGCCAGGTGTGAGTGCATGAGTGCCCAAGATCCTGAGAGGAGAATGGAGGAGAAGGGATTGCGGTGTGGCCATCCCCCCTGGGGGGTGACATCTCGCTTTCTCTCTCTCTAACTCTGTCTTTCTAGTGAGCGCATGCACCCTATAGCAAAAACCTCTCAAAATAAATAAATAAATAAAAGTGTTGCCCTGATCCAATCTTGTTGAAGAATTCATCGAAGGGTACCATCAAGGATGGGTAACAGCAGTGAGGTTAGGAGTAAAGACCAGTGGCCAGCTACTACCACAGTCCAGGTAGGAGATGATGAAGTAAATAAGGATGGAGACAATGGAGATGAGGGAAATTTCAGACACACAAAAAAATTTAACATAGTATTGGTGGTGGGGAGGGTATGGCTTATGAACAAGAAGGATGAGTTAGATATCATGGGGCTTTTTAACATGAGTTTGATGACAGGTAAATGGGAGTGCCATATACCAGGCAGTGGAAGCATGAGGGATCAGGGTTGGAGTGAAGATGGCATGTCCAGTTTCAAATATGTTGTATTTGAGTATATTTTGGTGGTGGATCTGCTGCAGAGGACTGGGCTGGGCTGGAGATCTGTAAGCATGGACAAATAGCCTTCACGTTGAAAGTACATGAGCAGAAATAGAATATCTCTAGGCAGCAAGGGCTTCCTGCTGCCTGAGTCTCTCCCTCCCAGCACACACACTCAGGGAATCTGCTCCTATAAAGCATCAGTGCAGCCATGGACTGAAAACTCATCCCATGTTCCTGAAAACAACAGGTCCAAAGGTCCCACCAGGCCTAGAGACTGAACAGTACATTGTTCCTGTGGGTCGTAACCTCAGTTAGACCCGGGTTTTGATTTGGGCTCCACCACCTAGTAGCCAGATGGCCCTAAACATGACCTACAGCCTCTGTATGCCTCTATTCCTCCACCAGAGCTGTCTCCTAAGATTGTGGTCATCACTCTGTGATAAGAGCCGTGTAGAACCCTGAACTCTGGTTCCTGACAACAACAGCTCCTACACATAAGGGTTAACCTTATGATGAAGTTTGACTCTTTGAGACTTCTCTTACTCATCTGTAAATTGGGGAGTTACTGTACTGATACATGAGTTTAGTGTAAAAAAAGCAAATATTAAAAAATAATACACACAGAACACTTCACAATGTCTGGATGCCTTTGATGACTATCAATAACAGGTAGTAGCACAAGACATGAGAAAATTCCCAAAGACTAATGCATTTTTCTTCTTGCTTTCTTACCTTTCTGTACATATAAAAGGTTCCTCTCCTTACTATCAGTTTTTCTTCTCTATCACAAAAACAATAGACAAAACTGTAAAACAAAAAAACAAAACAAAATGAAAACCCCTCCTTCCTTATCCCTATCCCCACTTAACTGAGAGTGTTTCTTTCTTTTTTTTTTTTTCCTTTTTTTGGAGAGGTTTTTGCTATAGGGCATGTGTGCTCGCCAGACAGACAGAGAGAGAAACAGAAAGCGAGAAATCACCCCCCAGGGGGGATGGCCACGCCACAATCCCTTCTCCTCCATTCTCCTCTCAGGATCTTGGGCATGCACGCACACGCGCCCAGTGTGAGTTTAAGCCACCGGGTCCAGGACTCAAACCACGGTCGACTATGTGGGAGTCTAGCGACATAGCCATTACGCTAACTGCTGGTCCCGAGAGTTTTTCTTATTCTCCATAAATGAGTATTTCCTCCAGTGATTGCAGGACAGTAGAGACCTTTCTGGTGTGAGATTGTCATTGCCTACTCATACAAATCAGACATTATTTGTTTTCCTTCTTTCAAGCTCTAAAACAGTGGGTAGGTCAGACGAGGACTCATACCTGTACAGTAAGCACAAGTTCTTGAAAATCAGAAAGTTTCTTCTGGAGCAGTAGTTAGTGCCATGGGCACAGAATCACTCAATGGTGAGGGCCGTCTGTGGACAGTGATGGGAAGTACAGTAGGGTTTAAGCATTCCT